AAAAAAAAAAAAAAAGGCTCTACAAAACTTGACTAAAATATCCAAAAAAATTCACCCAATTCAGCGATTTCTCCACATTCTCATTCTCTGCAATACGAAAAAAGAAATCTTGGAGAAAATGGGAGAAGCTGTGGTGAGCAGTGAAGCTGGGATCGAAAAGCAGGTCAAAAATTGCTTGATCACAGCAGGCGGCGGCGGGACGGCGCCGGAGGTGGGGACGGCGGCGGAGGAAGAGGCCGAGAGTTCGCCGGTGGTGAGGTGGGACAAGTTCCTTCCGAAAATGGTGTTGAGGGTATTGTTAGTTGAAGCTGATGATTCTACTCGGCAGATTATTGCAGCCCTTCTCAGGAAATGCAGTTACAGAGGTTTGTAATTTTATTTTATTTTATTTTTATTATTATTATTATTATTATTTTTTTTTTTTGGGGGCTAAATTGTTGTTTTGGAGTTTATTTGGTTTATGTATTTTAGAAGAAAAATAATAAAGATGAGATTTTGATATGCGGGATTGAAGGGTTTGGAGTATAAAATGCTTTCACTTCTATCTGCTGGTCTAATATGCTGCTATGTTACCCGGACTCTTCTATTTAGGAAGAATATCCGTGTCATGTTGTGTTGACACTGGTGTGGGTATGAGTGTCGGGTGTGGCATTTTAGCCTAAAATGTTCAAGATTTCTAAACTATTGACTAGTCGGACGCTCATATCTCCACACCCGATACGCACCCATATCTGAGTCCAGGTAGCATAGATATGCTGTTCATTTGATTTGTTATTATGTGGTAGATTTTGTTTGTTTTTTTTTTTTTTTTTGTTTTCTTTCTTGTGTTGGATGCTTTATGATCAGCTATTTTAGTCTTAAATTGTTGCAGGCATAAATTTGTTCTATGATTTGGTCTAACTTCGGGTCTGTTAGTTCTTGATCTTAGTAGGTTGTTTCAGTTTCCACAGTCATAATTTTTTGTTCTTGATTTGTTATTTTTATTATTTTGTTCAAGCAAGTGATTTTTCTACCCTTTTGTTCGTTCACAATCAACAAATCAGGATACTGATGGTTAAAATTTAGATTTATTTATTTTTTTCTCAGAAAATGTTTGCTGTTTGTAGCGTAGGTCAACATTTGGAGTAGATAGTATAGGGAGATGCTACGGTCCCGTTATGGGACCATTCCGTCAGGATTTGTAACCGTTAGATCAACTATCTCTGACGGTTACATGATGATCTAACGGTTACAAATCTCGACGGAATGGTTTCGTAATGGGACCGTAGCATTTCCCCATAGTATATATGTCCAGAGCTTTCAGTTTTTTTTTTTTTTTTTT